TCACCTCTGTCCCGAGATAAGTGGGAAACAGAAAAAGAACACTAGATGTAGAGGCCAAATGCTGTAGTCAAATCTGATTTCATCTCAGGCTTTGCAGTGGTGGGTAAGATACTTAAACTTCCTTCTCCTTCCATTTTATTTATTTATTTATTTTAACTTTATCAAAGTAATGTGTGTATGACTAAGTGTCAAATACAATGGGAGTTCTTTTTATTGACCTCTCTTGATTGATTAGCCTGATGAAGCAACTTTCTCGTTCCCTCACATGGCCTCCCAACTGAGGCTCTAGCCAGCTCCACACCAGGCGCCCCCCAGCTCACCTGTAACTTTCTGACCCACCTGTGGAGATGCAGATGAATCAAGTCAGTTGTGTTTGTTTCCTGCTGTGCTAATTCTGCTTGTCCATGTGATTATTCAATTCTGTTATAAATCACGTAAACCAATGACATGGGGATGTATGATTGTATTAAAGAGGATTGCTATCTATATGAAAATATTCTGGAAAGGCTCAATTAAATTTATTAAATATGTTATAGAATTAGGTGTGGACAAGATAATGCTAAAATATTAAGAAAATTTTAAAACTAAAGGGATTCTGCTTTGTGGCTTGAAGTTCTCAGTCTATTTTAATGGACTCGAAATTGAAAAATATGGATGATGATTATGGGCATGGTTAATGTAAGCAAGTGCAGAATTGGAAATGTGTGGTCATATTCCATATGCAGAAAGCCTGGCAGTTTCCCATGGGATTTGTCTGCTATTAAGTTAGATACGGTTCACATAAAGTACTCAGCAGCCTGTCTTGTATTTAATAAACATTCAATACATGTTAGCTGTTACTGTGCTTATTATTGATTTAATAATTGTGCATCCAGGCGATTTTAAAAGAAAAGAGGGGGGAAAAAGGTAAGATTGGACCAAATCAATATTTCAAAAGAAAATATTGAGATAAACATTTAAATCCAAGAACCAAATACTAGACATCAAAGGACCTGAACTGCACTGTGATTTTTTTTATTCAGATATCTTTATAAAATGAAAAAGGTTTTGATAGCCACATTCTGCAAGGTTTTGCTGGGGGGGCAGGGTGGGAGGAAAGCTGATTCATTATTAAGAACAAAGTTTTGGCAATCCAAGTGTAATACTATTTCAGTTTTAATAACCTGGCCCTAGGAAGCTATCTAACCTTTTCCTACCTTTATAGTCTCTGTTAGATAAAGATGATGAGAAATAATTAATTTAACATGTGACCAAAAAAAATGACTTCAAGTTCTTTGAGAGAAGTATATTATGGTCATATTGTGTTCCCCCACTTGGGTGTGAGCTCTTCCTGACTCAGTATGCCATTTATGCTGAATAACAGTCCCCTGTCCTCAGGATAAGGACAATGACATGCCAATGTTTTTTAAAAAATTGGTGTTTCATCAAAGCCCTACACCTATTTGCTTATTATGGTGTTTGCATCAAGTTTCAACAAGTGAAACATGTTTCACCACATAAAATAAAAATGACTCAGAATAAAGTAATAAAGTAATAGACTATGCCACCTTAATTTTATTGGGTCAAACTGAAAGATTCGTGGTGCATTTTTTGCAGAGAACATAGAAAAATTTGTCAAGACTTTCCCAACGACCTAATCTATTCAATATGGTAAACACAGTATATGAGCATGTGTATCAGGTATGAGATTTAAACTCTTGCTAATTTTAGTGACTTTTTCAAACTCATTTAATTTCTGTTATGTGAAGCAAAGCCTCAGTGCTGATGTTTGAAGTTATTTTCATAGTTGACCATAGAAAAACATTCATAGTTATTTAATATATGTTCAATATCTAGTCAGTCCATCTATATCTATAATATAGACTGAATCCATCATTCTAGATGTTGTTATTACCTTAAAATGTGTATAGAGATATCAATGCTTTAGAAGATATAAACATTTAATGAGCTAACCACTCTTACTATTATTGAGAGGGCAGAGAGGACCTATTTCCTTAGGAGACCATTTATAAAATCAAAAATAAATTATATTTATTTTTCTATCTTTTTATTGGATCCTTAAAGAATATCTCTTTAAAAACTGTAATTTAATTTGATACATATTTATTCATGACATTAAACTGGGTTTTGGCAAGTTATAAAAAGAAGTAAGAGAGATTCATCTTCGTGTTCAACAAAGTTATTATGTAGTATGGAAGATGTGCACTTGACTGACTAACATATTTCAGTCCGGATGTGTGGATAGCCAAACTATACCAGGAAGAGTACCCAGCACCTGCGTGTACTCTTATTATTATGTCCTAATGTCGAGATTCCTGATATCCTTAAGAAACTGATGGATGACTTGCCCAGCCTTTCTGTTTGAGCTGCTATGGAAATGGAGGAAGGCCTGTCATGTCCATGTTTTTTAAGGAAACGATGTGCTCATTATAAGCCAAATAGCATAAAAGAAATATTGATGAGAATGATCCCTCATGCAATCAATAAGCAACTTACCAGACTATCATAAGAGATGAAGAAGCAAACAGATTTGACTTCTGAAGAACTATGGAATCATCAGAAAAGTCGTGACAATTTTTTCTGTTTTTCTGTGCAAAAATGCATCATGACAAAAATGCATCATGACCAACGACCCAATACTTTTCCACACAAAATTAATTTCTTTCCATGATTAAGCATAGACTACATAAACAATGATAACGTGCTTGATAAAATCAATTTTGTATAAAGAAGGATTTGGTGTTCTAGCCTCAACTACATTCTTATTATTAAGTCATTAAAGTGTGACCTTAATCATGCTACTGTTACATGGGTGACCAAGTAATAGAGTTGCAATTACATTAAAGTGGCTTGGAGCAGTGGATTACATATTAAGTTCCAACTCCTGGGGATGGGTTATACTGAAGTACCTCTGAGTTGCTGATGAACTTATAAATGATGTATAAATACCTTCAACAAAATGTAGAAATTGTTAAATCAAGGGACCAGCAGTTGGCTTAATGGCTATGTTGCTGGATTCCCATAGTCAACCACGGTTCGAGTCCTGGACCCGGTGGCTTAAACTCACACCGGGTGCGTGTGCACACGTGCCCAAGATCCCAAGAGGAGAATGGAGGAGAAGGGATTGCGGCGTGGCCATCCCCCCAGGGGGTGATTTCTCACTTTCTATCTTTGCCCTATAGCAAAAAACTCTAAAAAAAAAAAAAGAAATTGTTAAATCAAGTAGCACTGCTGATAACCTTTTACTAAGAAACTCATAACAATACAGGTAAAAATGCCCCTGGATGTATTTTGTAAATCATTCTAAAAACAGAATAGCAGTTCATTGGCATGAGTATAAACTAGTATGTTTTACCATAAATGAAATTTGGGTGCAAGCAATATTGTAAATGAGTCACACTGAGGTGGGTTATTCAAATAGATCGGGATAGCAGGACAAAGAATTAATCCTATCATTGCTTAAGCCACACCATTCTTGAGTACTTGTTCAAGTTTTTAATGAACACATTTTTTTTTAAGAGAGATTTTTGCTATAGGGTGCATGCACTCGCCAGAGACACAGAGACAGAAAGCAAGAAATCACCCTAACATGTGGGATGGCCACACAGCAATCCTTTTTCCTCTATTCTCCTCTTGGGATCTTGGGCACACATGCACACACACCTGGCATGAGTTTAAGCCACCAGTTCCAGGACTTGAACCGTATTCAACTACATGGGAGTCCAGTAATGCAACCATTACACCATCTGCTAGTCCCAATCAACACATTTTGAAAAGGATTTTTTTAAGCATGCTGAAAATGAACATTACACATAAATGTACAGAGTATAATATATATGACTATATAGTATAGAATGTAATGTAAATCATATGACATATACTATAATTACATATTATATGGTTTAGTACATATTATGTGGCATTCTATATAGTAAATAATGTTGTTATATATATTATGTGTGTGTGTGTGTATATATATATATTATTTAAGGAAAGAAGTAGAACTGTGTAACCCCAAAAGACAAAAGCTAAATAGTCATATATATAATTACCACTTTCAATTTCCCAGAAATATTCTCAGAATAAGCAGAAGCTCTCTTCCCCATAGATAACCAAACATGAAGAAATATACGGTGTTACTTTTGGCCAACTTCATCCAGCAGAAAGAGACCCTTCTTGATAAATTGGATGAAAACTAATTGGCTCAAGGAAAACCCCAATATTTCTTTCTTATAGCTCTTCACTACAGAATGAACTACCACTACTTCTGTATGAGTTAAATAGCCATGGAATTATTCCACTCAAAGCCTTTTCTTTTATGCTAGTTTCAGTTCATTTATTTATTCTTCCAAGGTTCTCAAAGTACAGTGTCCAGTATTGGGCCACTGAGAGTCAGTGCCAGCAAATGCACATAACACCACCCAGACATATCAGTCCTAAGTGCTCAATTTTACACAGAGCTCTTTCATGGAAGGAATAATCACATGTGAACATAGGTTTGCTGTGGAACAGAATGCAAAAGATCAAAATTAATTATCTTCTTTGTAATGGATGTTCTCCCACTCTGCCCACCCTACCAGTCCCCAGCTCCAACCCCTACCACAAGGGATACATGTGCACAGCTCAGTATTTTCTCTGGCAAATGTAGAAGTGAAGGCCAGGTTCCACAATAAGTAACACCAAACCTATCACCATGCCATTAGCCCAGAAACACAGAGGTTGACATATATTTAATTCATGACTCTCCCACCCTGATTTTCCTTACTAGAAAAGCAAGGATACTTTAAGAAAGTTCACAGAAAAAGGGAATTAAAATAGAACTTTATTTTGGCACCAAAAACTTTGAAATACATGCATAGTTTTTTCACAATACCCGTTTCCATGAATATTTTGAAGACTTCAGACAATATCAAAGGCTTTGAGGCATTTTTATATGTGAAGTTTCATGTATGTCTTTGGATATGGATAAATGTAATAGTCTCCTTTCTTTTCTTTTCCAGGATGGGGGCCAGTAAATTACTTGAGACCTGTACCCAGAATCAGTGAGTAATTTACACATCGTGTTTGAGTTGGGTAGTTATATCTAAGCAGAGCAACAACTGGAATATCTGAAAAGCTCGCAGTGTTGCTCTTTTTTTTTTTTTTTTTTTTTGGAGAGGTTTTTGCTATAGGGTACATGTGCTTGTCAGAAAGACAGGGAGAGAGAGAGACAGAAAGAGAGAAATCACCCCCCGGGGGGATGGCCACACCACAATCCCTTCTCCTCCATTCTCCTCTCGGGATCTTGGACACACACACTTGCACCCGGGGTGAGTTTAAGCCATCAGGTCCGGGACTTGAACCACGGTTGACTACGTGGGAGTCCAGTGACATAACCATTATGCCACTGCTGGTCCCTCGCAGTGTTGCTCTTGAGCCTGTCCTGTGATAATAACCATCCCCAGAAAGTGTAGCCTAGCCAGCAATGTTGGAATGTGGAAAGTCTTGGAAGACGGGACAAGAAGCAAGCAAACCATGATCCTTGCCCTCAAGGAGTTTACAAAGGAAACCAAAGCCTTCAAAGATAGATTTAAGTTATATCTAGCTTGATGAAAAATGTATCTTATAAAAAGAATTTGCAGTTTTTCTGGTTTTGTTTTAGAACTATTTAACACTTCCTTGGGACATCATACGATATTTTCTATTTTCCAAAATGTCTTCCTCTATGAATACAGTTAAACATTATTAATTCGGATATTGCTAATATACAATTTTTGACATTTTTATCCAGACAAAGCTGATATTTATCTTTGACTTGTCCACAAGGAATAGATTTACTAAGTGGGAACACCTGTTATCTACGTTTAAAAAAATACATTTCTTTCATGACTTTAGCATAGTGGTCTTTAGGCAAAAAATAAAATCACCTATAAAATAAGGATTCATGTCATTAAATAGATGTCTCCTTAGATAGACCTTATTGGCAGATCATAGTATTGATAATAATAAAACATCAGTGCTTTTGATAAGTTCAGACTTCCATAATACAAGCTAGCTTTTCCTCCCTACCTTCCCAAACTCATTTTTCCAATCAGAAGTTTACCGTTGTATAAGTTGTGATCATAAGTATTTATTAACAGAGGAAAATCAATTTCTATTATCTTGTTTAAAAATTTACAAATAGAAATTTTGATGGTTTTGGATGTTTATCAATAATGTTGATCACCTGAACCACTGTGGAGTATTTACTTTTACAAGAAAAATGACGTATCATTTCTTTTCTTTCCTTTTTCATGACTTCCTACATCAGGTAATTTATTTTTCATTTAAAAGTCAATATTTTCCAAAAGCAAGCCAAAAAAGTCCAAGGGAAGGAGAAAGATTAGAAATAAGGGGGAAGAGGAAACCCCAAATCAGACCATGACTTCATTGGGGCCTATTGAAAAATTGGAGTAGTAACTGAATCACTAATTATTCATATATTCTTTTATTCATTCAACAAACACTTAGCCAAGGGATATGTTATTTTATCAAGGGATGTAGACAAAAATAAAATGTGGTTGGAAACAACAACTGGAGCTCAGAGAGAGAGATTCACATCATCTGCATGCGATGATATCACATCACATATCACATTATCTGCTATGTGAACACACGGGAATAAATAGGACCATTCAGGGATAAGGATAGAACTTTTAGGAATGCAAAAGGAGATCAGCGTCTTCCTGAGACAAGAGAAAAAGAAAGAGGGAAGAAGAGATAAATTTGAAGGTAATACATCTGAAGGAGTGTATGTCCGAGCTTTAATTGTTCCACAATACTGTAGAATAAGCATGGCTTCTAGACTAGGAGAACACGGTTTGAAACTCAGTTCAGTCCTTCATAAATGAAGTGACATGAGCAAGTCATGTGAAATCTCTAAATTTTTTTTATTATTACTATTTTTATTTTTTATTTCAAGTTCTTTTATACATTCAATCACGTTATTTAGCTTGCAAAGTGAATATTCCAACATGTGTACATTTCTCCCCAGTCCAGTTGATAATACTATAAAGTTATCTTCAACAGATAATACCTCATTTCTTTGTCCCATTAATGCTTTGTCTCTCTATTTTTCTTCTAAATATCTTTCCTCAGACTCTACTCCTTCACTCGCCCTCTTCCCACACAATATCTTGTATTCACAACCATTTTCTGTGTTTCTATAACCTTTAGTCATTCAGTTTCAGTCATAGGGTGCAGACACTCGGTATATATTGAGGACATACAATGTCTCTCCTTCATAGCCTGGCTTGCTTCACTCAACAGTAAATCTTCAATATTCATCCACTTTCTGTAGAAAGCCAGGGTCTTGTTGTTTTTTATGGCTGAGTAGTATTCCTTAGAGTATATGTGCCAGTTTTTCAATCCATTCATCTGTTTGTGGGCATTTGGGTTCGTTCCATGTCTTAGCAATTGTGAATAATGCTGCAATAAACATTGATGTGCAAGCACTTTTCCAATTAAGAATTCTTCTATCCTTTGGGTAGATACCAAGGAGTGGGATTGCTGGGTCATATGGTAGTTCTATTTGCAGATTTTTGAGGAATCTCCAAATTGTTCTCTATAGTGGCTGGACCAATTTACATCCCTACCAGCAGTGTAAGAGAGTTCCCCTTTCACTACACTTCCGCCAACACTTACCATTTTTTTTTTAATCTTAGTCATTCTGACTGGGGTTAGGTGGTATCTCAATGTTGTTTTGATCTGCATCTCCCTTACAATGTGGGATATCCAGCCTTTTTTCATATGTCTTTTGGGTATTCATATGTCATCCTTAGAGAGTGTTTTTTTTTTTTCAACTCATTCTCCCATCTTTTAATAGGTCTGATCATCTTTTTTCAGAACAGCTGCTTGAGTTTCTTGTGTATTCTGGTTATCACTCCCTTAGCTGATTTATAATTTACAAAAATATTTTCCCATTCTGAGGGCTGTCAATTCCCACTAATTACTGTGTCTTTTGCTATGCAAAAACTTCTTAGTCTGATGTAATCCCACTTTTCTTTTTTTTCTTTTCTTTTTTTGGAGAGGTTTTTGCTATAAGGTGTGTGCATTCACCAGACAGACAGAGAGAGACAGAGAGACAGAAAGCGAGAAATCACCCCCCAGGGGGGATGGCCACACCGCAATCCCTTCTCCTCCATTCTCCTCTCAGGATCTTGGGCACGCACGCACACGCACCCGGCATGAGTTTAAGCCACCAGGTCCGGGACTCGAACCGTGGTCGACTACATGGGAGTCCAGCAACATAACCATTATGCTAACTGCTGGTCCCCATAATCCCACTTTTCTATTTTGGGGATAATTGACTATGCTTTAGGAGTCTTATTTAAGAAGTCTTTGCCTACCCCAATGTCTCCCAAAGTTTCCTCAGTGTTTTCCAGGAGCAGTTTTACTCAGTGTGGCCATTTATAAAGTAAAAGTAAAAAATACAATTCATTCTTAGATTATTGAGGCCAGATGGTGGCACACATGATAAGATCCCAGTTTCATGGCCCTGGGCCCACCTTCATGCACTAGACACCCATTTGTGTGCCAATGATCTGGGCCGGTGTAGGATGAGAGTGGATAGTGCCATTAGAACCCTGTGGTTGGGTGCATGTCTCTCTCTCTTTTATTAAATAAATAATTTTTTTTTCAAATTCTGAGGCTGAAGACTATTATACTATATGTGAGAGCACTTTACAAATCCTCAGACACTCTATTCTGAGAAGCAGCCTGACAATTTTCAGAACTAGGCTGAGTGACCTTGCCGAGTTCCTTTTTATAAACTAGGGCTAAAGCACATAGCTTACACAGGTTACTAAGGTTGTTAAAAGTAAGGCGTGCATCATATGGGCACATAAAGGTTATCTAGAATGGGAGCTGCTAGATTATCATCTTCTGTGAATAGAAGCTTACGTCGTTGAAAGAGAAAAAAAACAACCACAATGGGGAACGAAAGCAAGAAGGCCCGCTGTAAGTAGTTGGAAACAACAACTGGAACTTGGAGAGAGAACAATTTGAGTGTCATCTGCACAGAGTTGAAATCTGAAGACATGGGAATAAGTAAGGCCATTAAAGGACAAAGGATAGGACTTTCAGGAACATTAGAGGGCTTCAGTTTCTTCCTGAGACAGGAGAAAAGGGGACATGTAAAAATGTTTTTAAGCAGAATTAAGTGTTCATTCTGAGGACCAGCAGGTGGCAGAGTGGTTAAGGCACTGGAATCCCACATGGCCAAACATGGTTCAAGCTTTGGACCCAGTGGCTTTCTTTCTTACTTTCTCTTTTTATTCTCTCTCTCTCTCAAAGTGCACATGTTCTATAACAAAATAATAATAAGTAAAATTTAAAATTATTAAAAAAATAGAGTCCATTCTAAAAACATGACCTTGCATGTAAAGCAGCCAAACCTACATGCTCTATAGCAGCCGCACTGGATGATCTGAAGAGCTGGGGTTGGGAATGATCAAAGCAAGTACACTAGTGGCAGACAGTTAGTGTCATTGAGAGGACAATTTAAAATGCTGGTCAGTACACATCCCACAGACTAGAGGTCTTGTACTTCAACACCTTCATTCTCCAGCCTGGTCTCATGGTTTGGCGGAATACTACCTTTTCCATTCAGAGTCAGCAGTTTGCACTCTTAAGGTTTTTGTCATTGTCCTGTAAGTGAGTGGCTTACCCAGATCATATGCTGTCACCATCAGCAAAGTGCCAGCAATTGACCTACTGATCAGAATAGGACAGTGGTCCACCAGACCCCTCCTTATCCCTTCTACCCTCTCACTCTCCACATTATGCTCCAGCCCCTTCCCCAGTCTACACTTGGCTTCTCCTTTCATTTGAGTTTTGGTTCTTCTCTAGGATAAGAGGCAGCAAAAAATGTTCCCACCTCCTCTGAAATAGAAGAGTAGAATTTGAGCTAAGTAAAAGGGATTAATCTGACTGCTACTTGTCCCTCATGCTATCAGTGCCATTTGTAAACCCCAGCATGGAGGAGGAGGCTGCAATAGGGAGGACTACACCTCTTCCCACAGTT